ACCCCAGGGGGGTCCTTCTGCCCCCCCAGGGGTGCCTGTCTGCCCCCCCACCCAGCTCTCTGTCAGTCTGTCCCCCTCAGGGGTGTCATAGTGCCCCCCCAGGGGTGCCCGTGTCACTCTGCCCCCCCCAACCCCTCTGCCCCCCAAAGGAGCGTGGAGCGAAGTCACGAAACCGGGGTGTCATCACCCCCCCTCCTTCGGTTTGAGCCTGAGCGGTACCTGGGCTGGTTTCTTTCTGGAAGCGCCTGCAAACTGTTTTCCTCCGTCGCCCAAAACCGTCCGGAGTCGGTCCTTGCGTCTGTCATTCTGGTCACCTGGGGTTTTCCAGAGAGCGTCCCCAAGCTTTCAGTTCCTCCAAGCAGGATTTTGATAGCGGTCTGTCTCTTCAACGTGGATGGTGTTTGTTTTTTAAGGTATCTAGGGGTAGTGTGTCGCACACGTTCAAGCTGACTTCAGAGTAGAAGTAAGTAGTGTGATTCAGTTAAATGTTACACGTAGCCCGTGCAGATGCACTGTCAAGCGAAAGTAGCAAGAGATGACTTTTGCTCCAGGGAAGGCAGGAGCGTCACATTTTTGCAACTGAAAATAAATGGTATTGAGTGCGTGCCACCTTTCCAGGCGCAAAAATGTGTGCCATCTTTCCAGGGGTAAATGTGCGTGCCACCTTTCCAGGCACAAAAGTGCGTGCCACCTTTCCAGGCGCAAAAGTGCGTGCCACCTTTCCAGGGGCAAAAATGCGTGCCGCCTTTCCAGGGGCAAAAATGCGTGCCGCCTTTCCAGGGGCAAATGTGTGTGCCATCTTTCCAGGGGCAAATGTGTGTGCCATCTTTCCAGGGGCAAATGTGTGTGCCATCTTTCCAGGGGCAAATGTGTGTGCCATCTTTCCAGGGGCAAATGTGTGTGCCATCTTTCCAGGGGCAAATGTTGTGGTCATCTTTCCAGGTGCAAAAATGCGTGTGCTGCCTTTCCGGGGCAAAAATGCGTGCCATCTTTCCAGGCGCAAAAATGCGTGCCGTCTTTCCAGGCGCAAAAATGCGTGCCGTCTTTCCAGGCGCAAAAATGCGTGCCGTCTTTCCAGGCGCAAATGCGTGTGCCGTCTTTCCAGGGGCAAAAATGCGTGCCGTCTTTCCAGGGGCAAAAATGCGTGTGCCGTCTTTCCAGGCGCAAAACGCTGTCTTGTGTCGGTGCGTCAGTTTTAGAGGAATCTTAACAAAAGCATGCCGTTGTTTATCTTGCCGTCCTGACAGAGCAATGGCTTGATCTGTGTCAGGTTGGAAATGCATGGCAATGGGGGAATCCAGGTATTCAGATGTCACGTTAATTTGGACCTTCATTCATCCGTTCAAGATAGATTAGCCCAGCACCACCTTGTTTGCTAAATGTAAGAGAAAAGCTTCTTCATCTGCTTGTGTGTCAAAGCTCCCACCTAAGGCATTGTTTGTAAGGGAAGGAATTTCCTTCGGCGTCTTTGCACAATAGCAGCAGCTACGCAGCGTGCCGTGCCCTGAACTCTGGAGTTGGTTGCATTCCCACTGCGGTGATTTGCAATGAAATGTATACTAGTAACATAAACGATTTGCTTGCATATAGAAACATAATACACGTGAGTAATCTCATTCTTATGACACAACTCATTTTAGAAACGAAGTGGCACGTGTTGCACCCTGATGACAATATTCAAAGCACAGTCGATGCTATTCACCATTATCCTTCCAAAACATGAATAGCTAGATAGAGTGTAGTGTTTGGTCTTGATTACTAATTGCATGTACAGTAAAAGTCATAGTATAAACAGTAACAACCCGGGATCTCTGTTGAAAAGGATGTGGTGACGCATAGGTAAAGAATAGGGTGTCTTAGTTTTGGCTTTGCTTAAAATACAATTGCATCACCCAGGGCTGTAAGGCGGTAGGGGTGCTGAATGCACTGTCAAGGAGGACAGCGGTCCTGAGTGATCAGGGCTTGTGCAAGCTGCTAAAGGAAATAATTGGTGAGCTAAGTGAGTGTCCTCCTGTCAATGCTGAAACCTGCTGCTCTAAGGGATTACCTGGATCTTTTGGTTTCGTGTTTGCCTGATCTCTGCAGTCACCACCGGATAAGATGTGCTCAGCATAAGACAATATTATCTTGGTTTCTGGCTCTGGTTTCTGGACACCATTGTATCAAGAGCCAAGTGTAAACCCTAACCAACCTTTTCTTGGGCGGCTGCTGTCATTGCACACTTATTTCAGTCCGCTCCTTGCTGGATCAGCATCTTGCGAGACTTATTCACTTGCATAAAGTTTTCATACAGTGAACAGCGTATTTAGTAGCAAAAAAAGCTGGCAGAAAGGTTATGGCGTGGCATATGGCATATCTTTACTTACTAGGATCTTCGTCTTGCGTAAAACCAAACAGCAGACTACACAAGGGGTGTTTTAGCTAGCTTTTGGTCATTCATTCTTGTGACGGGGGTTTGCCCACATACACGACATCTTCAGTTTGAGTTGTGTTTCCAGTGAGATCTTGCAGTCCTGCGTGCTTCTGGGGGAGCACACTCAGACATATTACACCATCTTCAAACTGAGAAGGTGATGAATTGTGCTTGCCTAGTTATATAACAGGAAAACTTGAAAGAAGTTTGCCTGGACTTAAAACAAGGATTGCTGGCGGGCTGAAAGGGCACGCAGACTTCAATTGAAGTTTGTTTAAAATGTGGGTATTATAAGTAATGCCCCAGCACTGCCATAGCTCTGTAATTAGGAGAGGTTTCCCCCCCTCCTTAAGTTTAGTTACCATACCGAACGATATCAGGTGTAGGTATCACCGGTCGGTGCGTGTGTACACACGTTCATGGACATGCAAGCTTGGGGTTTTCTATATAGCAAAGAGCAGAGAGAAATGGCTGAAGAGTCACTTTTGTTGTTTTAAAGTTGGCAGGGGGACTTGACACGTAGAGTTGCAGAAAGTATTTCCAATTCGTTAAGAAGGCTAGTTCTTTAAGCCGATAAACTTTTTCAAAAATGTCCTTTATTTTGCTTATAAATAAGCCTCTCTCTCCTCTCTCTTTCTCTCTCTCACTCTGCATATACATGATTTTTAAAATTAACTTCCCACTGCCTGTGCATTTTTCCCCCCTAGGTTGAAGAAAGCTAGTCCGTCTCTTTTTGTCAATGGCTCATTTAGGTTATCGTGCGATAGCATAAAACTGCAACATTCCCCTTGCAAACTCTGCCGAGGAATGTTAATCTTTTGGCAAGAACAAAATATGATATTTCTGTTGATCGTAAGCTTTATGGAGCTTATTCTGCACGCTTGTGTTTTGGTCCAGTTTTGACCTGGCAGTATTTATTTCAGTTTTTAAGCAAAAGCCTTAGTTGTTTATGCCTTTAAAACCATTTTCCTGCTTCACTTGGTTTCTTTTCCAAGCCGCATAAATATGCCGTTTAATTCCCCGAGCAAACGAACTTCCATTCTTAGTGAAACTAAATGAGTGTTAAAAGGCAACTTGACACCCTAGTCCCAACCAGGCAGGTGATAAATTGGAGACATAGAGATTTTACTCCAGCAGGTCACTTTTCACTCAGTTCGTAAGACATGGGTTGAAATAATGCTGTGTACTAGGATCATTTTATCTTCCATTGAAATATAGCCTGGTCACAGGTGCTCTACGGTAGCCGTGCTGTGTCACCGTGTACACGTGATGTAACCAAGATTTCTGACTAATTTATTGGGATCTTGATCCTATGAATTAAATCCCACCTCGAAAGTCATAAATAACTGTTTCACAATGAGGAGGATAGGTGTGGGCCAAAGTAAATTGGGCAAGCAGTTCCTTAATTGTCACCTAAAATAAAGGCGGTATTTACTACGGCGGAGTGAATCCAATTCTTTCTCGGTTCCTTGTGAAACACAGAATGAAGGGGGAGTGGTTTTAGGTAGGGGAATCCAATCAGCTGAAAGTTCATATTTCAGAAATTAATATTTTTTTTCTTCCCTCACTTCTGTTGTGGTCTAAAACTGCTGACCACACAGGTTTTTTGGCTGGGAGAGAAACCTCTTTCCTTACAGAGTAAAACTTCAATATGGGAATCCTTACCTGTCGATGGGAATGTAGGGGTTTTTTTTCCCCCTATGTCACAGCATAGAGGTGGGAGTTTCACAAGGCTCATTGTAGGCTCTTGCTAAGTCCCTCTTTGGGTCATGATAAACAGGGATCCTAGTTTTCTCTGATTTAAAAAATCCCCAATCTTTGGTTAACGAAAGTAACCCCCAAATCCACATTTTTCCATGATTTAAATGAAACACCACTCATGTACGTAGTGGTGTTTCATTTAAATCATGGAAAAATGTGGATGTTAGGGTTACTTTTGTAACCAAAACAGAGGGATTTTTTTTTTTTAAATCGGAGAAAACCAGGATCCCTGATGATAAATCAGCAGCAGGACCAGTCCCTTAAGACTTGTGGTGGGGAAGGCAAGGAAATGCTAGTGCCCCCTCCTCCCCCCACCTCTGCCGCCCTGCTGCTTAGCGCAACCAGGTCTTGGTGGGAGCGGGGCACAGGTACGGTGGGGTACCTGGGTGCCATGGCAGATGGTAACGGGTGTGCGGGAGCTGTTGCATTCGGGAAATCTCAGCTTTTCGGGAGCTTTCTCTGCCAAACCACTGCAAGTGTTAGCAGTGTGGAAAAAAGGGTCATGAAAGCATTTCTATGCTCTGCTTGGTTCTTTTTATTTGATTTTCATTTTTGCTACAGATTCAGTACATCTCTCCAGTTGCTGGCACTTTAGCCTCATTCCAAAATCTTGTCTGCTTCACCCGGCCCCTCCAAGCTCTCTGTACTAGGGAGGGGGCCTAAAGCAAGCAGGACCCATGAAGGATACCTGCCAGGCTTTCCAAGTTCCCCAACCCCCCTGCAAGCCGGATGAGCTGTGCAGGAGTTGGGCTCCGCTAAAGGTCTGCAGGGCACGACTGTCACGTCTCGTGATCTTAGGATGGTCCTACAGACCTTGGGAAATCAAGGGGAAGGTGGGGAGGGGAAAAGGCATGCTTCCACTTCTCAGTTGCCTCTTTCCCCCCTTTCCCCCCCCCCCCTTTTTGAAAAATTGTTACAGGCATGCATGCATGTATGGCTTTGAGGCCATCTTACCTAAGTTTCAGGGGTGTTGGTTGTAGCCGTGTTGGTCTACGGACACCGGCAGATGGGGTTCTTTGGGGAGAAGTGATATCTTTTATTAGACCACCTAAATAGTTGGAAAAATTGTTCTGTGCAAGCTTTTGGGTACGAACACCCTTCTTCAGGCACAGGGAGAGTCTGCAGTTGTTTTGTGCTCTCCTGGATGGGGTGGAAGCCAGTATGCAGGGAGCGGATTATTATCAATGGCAGTGATTTCTTCTCC